TCTATACTGTAGGGGATTTAAATTTGATTATTGTTATTGGATTGCACATGGTGAGTTTGAACCATATGTTCAGTATGATCATGTTTTAGCCTCAACAAGTTATGCCACTCCAACGGTTCATGATTTTGGTATATATGAGAAAATGATTGTTGATGCCAGCATAGCTCATTTTGTTGGGAGTGTGTCTAATGATAATCAAGAATCAAACAGTGAGGCGCAACAATTTTTTTGAATTATTAAATGTTGGACAAAAAAATTTATGTTGGACAAAAAATTTTGTGGGAAGGATGCACTTCACTTACAGAGTTAACGGTTTCCCTGAAAATGTTGAGCATCAAATTCGATTTCAACATACCCAGATAATGTTTAATTCGATTTCAACATACCCAGAAATTCGATTTCAACATACCCAGATAATGTTTTAATCATACAATAACATTATTAGAGGAACCCTGCAGATAATTCGATTTCAACATACCCAGATAATGTTTTAATCATACAATAACATTATTAGAGGAGACGAACCCTGCAGATAATTTAGTTCCAGAAGAATTGCACAAAAATAAAAAGTTAGTGTTGAAGTTATGAGAGCTACTGTCTGAAAAGATAGATGGTTGCATTAATAGTTGTATATTATATTACAAGGAAGATCCGCAGGAGACAAAATATAAATTTTACGGTGCTGATAAGTTCAAGCCATAGGGGAGAAAGAGTAAAATCTAAAAAATATTCTTTACATACGTCTCTTTTATTTTTCTCTCATTTCACGGCTTCAGCGATTATTAGCTTTTATGTGCACACCTCCTCACATGACATGACATAATACCATATCTATTGGTGCTAATATAATGACTCATCCTTTAGCTGGTGAAGCTTGGAAACACTTTGATCACATCTATCCTGATTTTGGAGTAGAACCATGCAACATTAGGCTTGGCTTATGTGCAAATGCATTCACACCTTACAGTACACTACAACAACCTATACGTGTTGACCAGTTATTATCACGCCATATAATTTTTCCCTCAATATGTGTATGACAGTGTTGTTTTTATTTTTAACATTAATCATACCACGTCTATATAGCCCAAAGGGTAAAATTGACATGTATTTACAGCCTTTTATAGATGAGCTACAAGTATTAAGAGAAATTGATCGATTGACTTATGATTTTGTAACTTAGAGATGATCTTATGTAGACGATTAAAGATTTCTAGCTTATGGGAAGCTATCTGGTTGGAGTATAGCCGAGAAATCGGCATGTCCCTATTGCATGGACATGTCCAAAGCATTCGCTTTTAAGCATGGAAGAAAAAAATCCTGGTACTATTTTCATCGAAGGTTCTTAGCATGTGATCACTAATTCTGGAAGAATAAAGATGCATTTTTCATTAATAGAGTTGGAAGATCAAGTCCACCCCTAAGGATAAGTGGAAGCGATATATTGTAAATAAACTATGAAGTTCCAAAGATCACTGAGAGACCGAAACAAGCCTCTAGAAGTTTTTCAGAATTTTGGCGTTACACATAATTGGATGAAGTGGAGTATTTTTTTTGGGATCTTTACTATAGGAGGACAAATTGGATTAGGCATAATAATTGGATGAAGTTCAACTAAAGTTCCCATATGTTCCAAAACTATTTCTTAAAGCAGCTTCCCCGACAACGGCACCAAAAAACTTATGGCAGCAAAAGTACCGCGAAGCAGACATCCACTTCACAGAAGTATATGTTTCCAAGTAATAAGTCTTTTTAAAGAAGTAATGCATATCGTTCCCACAAGAAAGTTTGTTAAGAAAGTAATTTGAAAAATTCAAAGTTATAGTTTACTAACTTTTCCAACCTAGTTCGGCAAGATCGGAAAACAATTAAAGAAAATCTTAAAGTCTAGTAGATTCTGAAGAAAAAAAACAGAAGAAAACATCAATCAAAGTTCTTTGATGTTTTTCCAAGATTAGTGAAGACCGTGTCTCAGTGATTTAGGTTTGGCGCTTGACTTGATTTTCATACAAATTCCTCTTACATAGTTGTTTTCAACTAGGGATAATAATTTCTTCTTAAGCTTTTGCCTAGGTCCCAAGAAGATTTGGAATTTCACAAAGATAGTTTCCGCCTATCTTTATGACATCCCTAATATTTTCAGATCCCCTTTCATTGGTTGCAAGTTCTGGATTAAAATATTCTTATTATAATCTATTGTGGTTAACCTAATCGTTCCACTACGTCCTGTCGAAGTCATAGATCACGATGGATTTTAACTTCCTAACTGACCAAGTTAGGAGTAAACGAAGATCAGAAGGTTAACCAATAACTTCTATCAATTTTAACTGCAAAAAATGATACGAAAATTCGGGAATAAAGAATCAAACAAAGAAATCGATCCCAAAAATTACAAGGCACTATAAGTAAATTAGCTTCTCATAGCTTGAGAAAAAAACAAAAGAAAAACCATGGAAACCAAATCTGCAAGGAACATTTTCATTCAAATAAAAATATACTTACAGCCCTTGGTGATCCTTTCGTAAAATAACAACTACAAATACTTCTCTCAAATTTTCTCAAAAAAAAACAAAACAAAGAAAAACTAAGAGGTGAAGAAGATCCCTCTCTAACCCTAGCCTCCTCCTCAATTCTCTCCTCCAAAAGCCCTCAAAATATCCAAATTACATGATTTTTATAGCATGCATTCAAAATTCTTCCCAAATTCATCAGAGTTCCGTAATAAAACACTTCAAATCAGAAATTATATACTGGTGTGACCACAACCGACCTGCGGCGCAATTATGCTCCGTCCTCTGGTTGGGTGTCATAGTTGTGTCGCGTTTCGGTGTGGTTATGCCGAGGGGCTCCATCACACGGCTTGCTTGACCGCTGGCGTGACCACGCCTGATTTCGGTGTGACCACGCTACTCTTGTGGCCTGATCATGTTGGTTTCAGGCGTGCCTACGCCAATGTTGAGTTTCCCAAATTTCTTTGTTTCGCTCCAATTTTCGTGTTGGTCCTTCTCTAACCTCCAAAATGCAATTCCAACATTCCAAAAGCATAAAATCATGTATTTAAAGAGGGAAAATGCTTGAATTAAAGCATAAAAAGTATGAAAATTTGACATTATCTCAATATGAAACACCGATATGCAAAATATTTAGCTTGAGTATCCATTGGATTTCTAGTTAATGCTTTTAAAGCTATACGTTGCATCAATACTTTTCCAAAAGATAACTTTGTATGAAGAAAAAATGCAAACTTTGAGTGTTATCCCCCAAAACTCAATTGTATTTCCATTTTTTCTTAAATTTTGGGGCCACAATATGCATTCATTTCAAAATGATGCGCTCATTTTTGTTTATGAGAATGTGAAGTATTTGGGTGATATATAAATGTACATAGTCAAGTTTAGATGATTGATACGTAAATGCATAGGAATTGGATGGTAGTATGTAAATGCACCTTTAATTAAATATGATTAGCCCATTAAAATGCATATTTGAATGCAAAATATAATATTATTCTTCATTGAAATTAGAATTTGCCATGAAATAAAGGAAGATTTACATATACCTATCAGTTTCTATGTAATTACATATATAGCACCTAGTTTTAATTTTTACATACATACCACCTTATATATATGCTTGAAAACTGTTTTTTTAGTAGGATGAGCACTCATACAACCCCCCAAAATATTGAATATTTTATTTTAACCACCCAAATTTTAAATATAACACTTGACCACTTTTTTCCATTACAACTACCCTCCATTACTCACTAATGAAAGTTTTGAGTGAAAATTTTGAGTACTTAAAATGTTATATTTAATATTTTGGGTGGTTAAAGTGATATATTCGATGTTTGGATGGTTAAAATGAAATGTTCAATGTCTTGGGTGGTTGGTTGTTGTTGAATCTAAATCTGTCCTTTGGACCGTGCCAAAGGAATAGAGACAGATTTCGAATGAAGGAAAAAAAGAGGGAGATAAAGAGAGAAAGATTGTCCCTGGGCTCGGCGGCCCCTACTATTCCACATAAGTTTAGTTACAAGTGAGGGAGAACCGGAGCAACACCCTACATGAGCGGGAGAGAGAGAGTCGAAAGAACTTCTTTTACATGCCAATAGGTCCTTTATTTATAGAGAAATAAAGAGGAGAGAGGGAGATTACATTTATGCCCATGTTTAAGGAGCAGTGAGGGGTATTTTGGTTCTTTCCTTACTTGGACCAGTCCTCCTGGAGCTTCCCACAGGTAGACTTGACGGCGTCGAGTTGTCGACCCAAGTGATTGATCGTCCGGGGTTGGCGGACCAAGATGGCATGTTGTCTTCCTTCACTTTGGCCGCCCCATGGTGGGTGGTCGGCAGGGATGGCCAATCAGATGCCTTGCTTGTGGTTGGCTCATAGTGGTCAGTCGGTTGGGGAGGGGTGGCGGGCCAATCGAGACCGTCCGGTTGGAGGTGGTCAGGTGACCAACCCATGGAGGCCGAGTAGTTGGAGGAGGTTCAACCAACCAATTACATTGGGTGGTCAGCTCAAGTGCCCAACCCGACATCTCAGTGGTCCTTGGCAAGTCTCTCGCGATGGCAATCCTTCGAGCTCGATTGCCTATTTTTAGGCTATACAGTATGTAAAAAGCACTTTAGGATTAAATGAAATTAATAGAGAAAAATGATTCAGGTAGCCAACCCCACTTAGGGGGATAAATATTTGTTGTTGCAGAGTGAGCGCTCGAATTTTACTTAAAAAGTTAAACTTGTGATATTTTGTATGTAATATTAAACATTTGAGTGGTATAATATTAAAAAATAAATTTTTAGATGTTGATATGTAAATGTATAACAATTGAATGGTATGAATTTAAATGCCCAAAAAAAATTAATAATTAAATAAAAAAACTAATTTAAATGTCCAAAATAATAATAATAATAAAATAAAATAAAATAAAATAAAATAAACTCTTGGTGGCTTTAGCCGGCCGAGGATTTTAAAAATATAACTGACGTTTCGACCCGTTGTACCTTTCCTTGCTTCTCTCGTTCAACACTCGATCCAATTCTGCTACAGTCTCCCTCCATTGCTCCTCTAATCTCCGATTCTCCTCTTGCCGCTGATACTTCTCTGATATCTGCTTTCTCTGCCGAATGGCGGACTCCCAGCGATGCTTCACTGAGAGAGATCTCCCTCCTTCCACATCTACCGAGAACAGCAGCTCCGGCAGCAATGTGGATCGGGTTCTTTTCAAAAACCTCGTTGAAATGGTCCCTCTCGTCGAATCACTCATGGTATGTGTTCTGTTTGTTAGAATAGTTTGCGGTAATACCTCTATTGCGAGAATCCATTTGGACTGATGTTCTGTTACTGGATTTTAGGATAAGAGGGCGAGTTCGTCTTTTGCGCGGCGAGCTTCCATTGTGCACACACCAGCTCCTCAGCTGAGAAGGGTCAGTTCTTTTGACTGCTATGTTTTCTTCTCCCGATTGATTTTAGGGCAAATGAATGGTAACTTTTGGATCTGATTCTATATCGTTACACTTTAATGTCGAGTAGATAGTATCTCTAAATGGAGATATCCATGTATGATTTACTTCTTGTTTTAGCGATCATATTGAATGGTCTGATTTTTCTCTGGTGATGGCCACCGAGATGTGTAATTCTAAATCATAGGGTTGGGCTTCTGATAAAATTCTTAGTACTAAAATTATGCAGACTATTTTTATTAAAAAAAGGAAGTTTATCTTCGATTTGTTTTAATAAAGCAAATTATTTGATTGAGATGTTCTTAAGTGGCGTTTACTGGATATATGAACCATTCACTTGTTAGAAAGCAAGATAAGCTGACGTTTTCTATTTTGTGATTGTCATTGTCATTAGATTGTTTAGCTTTCTTTAGGTCTCTTTCTCCATGAAAATCACCATGTTTATCTAAAAATGAAAACTCTAGGTTCATGGGAGTGATTTTGTTTAAGCACTGTTAGTTTTATGTAAGAATGTGTTTAGTTTTGTATAGATTTTCAAATTTAAATTTTGAAGCATGTGTGGCGTCTATCACTCCCAAGTACCATTTTACAGCAGGGTGCAGATTACAAGAGCAAAAAAGTGGCTCAGACTAATTCGATAAAGACAACGAGGGATGCAGAAGAAAGTGTCCAAAATGATATAAATGAGCTTCTTTTCTTACGGGATCAAGTTGCTGAGCTACAGAAAAAGTTAATAGAGAAGGAGGAAGCGTTAAAATCTGCTGAGAGTTTAACTAATCAAGTGAATGAAACTCATGCATCAGTAGGTGAACTGAGACGCCAAGTTGTTGAGAAGGATGCATTGATCAAATCTACCAATGTGCAGTTACATAATGCTAAGGTAATTAATCAATTTTAGTTATCCTTGTCTTTAATAATATGCTTCTGTTGCCTTGTTGGAAGGATTTTTTTTATGTTTATCACATATTGGTGATGATTTATAAATCACTGATTTTCAAATTTCTTTTTAATTATAGTTAATAATTGCATCTGCTTGTTAATGGTGAAATTTTACTTTAGAAGTTAGCAGTTCGGCTAATCTGTTGATTTTTTAATGTTCAAGGAAATTTGTTCCTTGACTTCTTTTGACTGAATGTTAAATACAAACACAATGTGGTGTAACTGCATTATTTTTTTTTTTTTTTTGTTATTCACTATCATAACATTAAATGTCACTTTCAAATCTAATTTGTAAGTGGTAGTTTTTTGTGGAAGTCCATTTATTTGCATAAACGACCTTTCAACTAGTAACTTTTATTCGACAGATCAAACTTGCTGACAAACAAGCTGCCTTGGAAAAGATAGAGTGGGAAGCTGAGATGTCAAAGAAAAAATTAGAGGAACTTCAAGTTGATGCTGTCTCTAATGAATTAGAGATTAGTGCAATGATGACTTTGTTTGAAGCAATTGCAAATAGTGACTCTTTTCCATGCATTGATGATACTTCTTTTGAACCGCTTCCCCATCTAGTATGTACATCCTTCTTTCTTTGTTAGGATGGTATCTTCTTTTTAATGTACTGTGAATCAGTGAAGATTTGCTGATAAAAAAATTATAAATATTTCACTAATTCTTTCATGCCGAGCAATCTAACGACATAAGCATTTTTAGGAAGCTTGAATTTGATGACAATTATGCTAAATCTATGTTTTGCTAGTTATTTTTCATAGTTTGCTCTTCCCTGCTTTTTTCATGTAAGAACCAAATGAAGAGGATAAAATATAGCAGCAATTTTGTTTTTTTTTTTTTTGTGAAATATTAATTTGAAGTTTGGAATGTTATTCTGGCTCACCTAAATTGCTTGATTGTTTGCTCAAACTTAAACATTAACAGCGTTAGTTTGAATCAAGAATGGTGTTGTTGAGTATCTTGAGTTTGAAGCAAACGAAGGCCAAAGCCCTCACCTTGAGGGCAAAATACCATCATTGAAACTTGAATAAAGGTCGAATTTGGTTGGAACGAAAACCATGTATGGATAAAGCAACATTATCTTGGTCAATGTATTGTGTCAACAATCATCCATTGTATGACATCCTTCATTTAAGTATACTTTCTTTCACTTCATCAAAGAATATGTGCTAAAGCAACAATTAATTTAATGAAGATCCAAAGAATTTTAAATCTTGATTAAGAAGCCACTAGCATATTGCTAGCCTCTTTATTCAACAAGCATGCGTACTGTCTATAAAACTGTGTATGAAAAATCATATGTGTATGCTTTGTGTTCAGCATAAAGCAGTTATCGTGAGTACCTTAAGATCTAGTTGGTGCAAGGATCTAAAGTTTGATTTGTGGGCCATTATTACGTCTTAATATTGATATCATTTTATAGCGTGATGTTACCTTATGATAAGTAATGCTGCTAAGTTCTATCATATTAAAAAAAAAAAGAAAAAAACTTTCCATTGGATTTCAAGTCCGCTTCATCCCAAGTGTGTTATGCTTAAAGAAAACTTGTGGAATGGTACCAACCTTGTTGATTCAATTAATTTTATCTCATTTATTTCTCAACAACTTTCTTTAATTTTCTTCTTTGTTAACTGGGTCCGGGTTATATTGCTTGATTAGATTTAATCAAATTTGTGGCACATTTAGGGTTTTGGTCTTTAGTTGATTTATTAAAAATTATTGTGATTTAATATATTATACTATATGATTTCAATTTTCATTGCATAATATCCGTCAGCATATTCACATTAATCTAGATTTCTCTTTTGTATTATGTAGTAATTGTATTAAATAATTTTTTGTATTAATTAGTTTACTTCTTTGAAATATTTGTTGATCGAATATCTAAATATAATTATTTCACATCATTGTTTAGAAAGGTATGAGATAAATGGATATAGAATTGACTACTTTCATGTGTTATTTGTATGAATGGTGTAGATATGATTATATTTTCCGTTCAATTTATTTGATATCAAGGCATGAGGATTCTTGCTTCACTCGAGAGCCCACGCCTATAAATCGTGTTCACACAGTTGAAAATGGTCAAATTTTAGAATTTTGTAAAATAGGATTTGATAAGAGATTATAGGAATAAATGTGAGAGATTTCTCTATTTTCATAATTCACCATATGATTTTCTTACAATTAAGGAGACCCAAGATGAATCATTCTATCCATCCTTTTCCACCCTAGCTGAAAAATATTTTATTGCCATCTTCACTAACTTGAACCTAGTCGGTGCTGACAATTTCTTAAAATTGTTTTTAATGAATAATCCATTGCAATGCATATTGAACAATGTCAAATTCTTTGTGAGCTAACTCTTCTGAGGGATAGGGTCAAACTAGTGGACCTGGACAACTATGTGTGCACATAAATGTTTTCTATGTTGCAAATAAACTAGTGGAGCTGAAAAATATTTTATTGCTATCTTCACTAACTTGAACACTAGTCGGTGCTAACAATTTCTTAAAATTGTTTTTTAATGAATAATCCATTGGAATGCATATTGCACAATGTCAAATTCTTTGTGAGCTAACTCTTCTGAGGGGTAGGATTAAACTAGTGGAGCTAGACAACTATGTGTGCACATAAATGTTTTCTATGTTGCATGCCCCTTTCTATTGAGGAGCACATTAAAACACTTGCGAACTTATATGTTAATATTGATCAAGCAAACAACATATTTATTTTAGATTTTTTAAAAAAAAATTGGATTTTATCACAATGCAATTATTGTACAATTTATAGTATCTCAACAATCGATCCTAGTTTATAGCACCATTATTTACCTGCAAATCACCATATTGATAATCCTATCCACATAGACCCAAAGTGTGATATAAATGGCAAACATGCTTCGAAAGGTGAAAATTTTGACACCATTCTTTGATGTTAAGCTTGACCCAAAAACTTTTTCTATGGTTCTATGGGTATGAAACACTTGTGACCAAAAGCTTGTTCGATTAGCATATGAGTAGGATTCCAACATGTCTTAGTATTCATAAGTAGTGTTCATATTGGTATAATTGATGAATCATACTAAATCACTATTGATAGTAGGAGTTACATGAATACCTTGTCAAAATCATCCTTTGAATGCATGAAAATTTTAAAAATTGTCTATTATATTTTTAGTTCATGATTGAATGACCTAGATGTTACTTTGGGTAGTCAAACACATATATTTTCAAAAGCTAAGATAAAGAAGATAGTTTTTTTTTATCCCTTTAAACCAAGGTTATCATGTTAGTTCTATTAACGAATCCACACCAAAGCAACAATAGCAAGCTTTTATACATTTCTTGTCATCAATTGTTTGATTGAGAAAGCTTGGAAGTTATATTGGTTTTTGTATAATAAAGAGCATGCTAATAAATATTTGATTTTACCTGATATCATTAATCTTTTATTATTATTATTTTAAGGATTATATACTGAAAAGCTTCTTCGTGAGCTTTTACCTCTTTGTGATATATCATATTTACCTATTTTTTTAAACTATTACTAAAATACATGTAGTTGATTTATGTAAAAAGAAATTAACAAGTAAAAGTTTTAGTCTGACTAGAAAACCTCTAACATGTCAGAGTAAATTGTTCAATAGTTCCTACAAAATTTTTGGTCTATTAATCAACTTAAATCTTGCAACGAAGTAATCTATAATTCATTCTAATTTTTAAAAGCAATTCAATTCATCATGTCGCGCATTCAGACATGATGATAACCACTTTGAAGTTAATCATCATAAACACGCCGCAAACCATTCTCTCAAGCATATCATCTAATCTAAGAATGGAAAATCTTTGAGCAGCTGTGGTTTTTATTGTTTTTATGATTACCATAATTATCATTAGCCTCACCCAACTATTTTTTGGTTTTAATAATGATTGATTGTACGGTCAAGAATGATTGCTAAATTCCACACTCATTGTGGGAAGATTTAATTTAGTCTATTTCATTTTTATGAATATATTTTCTAAAATGATATAATTACGTGTGGCAAAATTTTTTTTTACACATCAAGATAGTATTCTTTGGTAAAATTATTAGGCTACATGAACTTCTAAAGACAACTCTTTGTGAGGGATGTTAAATTTGCTAGTTAGTTACAGATAACTCTTTTCTACTATATTATTATCTCATGACATGATTAGATTAAAGTATTAAAAGGTAGTTTCAAAGATTTGTTATGATGTTTGATTCAAGATCATCTTTTGGGTTTGGACATGACTGATTTTCATGTAATTCATGTATAGATAGATTTGTTGGTGTTAATCCATATAATAAAGCTACTCCTAATAATATTTTAGAATGCATGAAGATTTAATTTACTTATTACATGTAAACCTAGTGAGCTTGCACAATTTTGTACATAGCATATGCATGTCTTACATGAAGATGGAAGTTAGTTGACAATTATATTTACAAGTTTATAATCGATATCATAGAAGGTACTTGAGATTTAGGTGGGGTGATAAAGTGGATGGTTTGCTTGCAACCAAATAAATTTGCATCGGAACTTTCATGATATTGGCTGCTATAAAATTAAGCTGCACATATAATTTTGTGGGGTATAGGAACAAAATGATGTTGAGTTAAAAATCCAAAGCATGCTTGCATTATTCCAATTCAATGTGGCTGGCTGACTTTATTCCATGAACTACCAACAATGCTAACTTAATCGGAGAAGCAAATCATCAGAGAACTCCTTGAGTTATATGTAATTACAATTTTTTATTTTGAAATTATGATTATTATGGATGATGAATATCCGAGGTATCTTATCAAATATAAAGCAAGGTATACATCTGATGATTCGTTGGTATTTATGAAAGACCTTCAACCCATGCCAAAAATATGATGAAAGAGTATTAACAGTGGCATTCACGCGATCAAGCTAAGTGAATTTATACGAAGGTCAAAGTCTACAATTGTTTTTGAACACATAAACTTGTTGTATTGATTGTCTTCTTTATTTAAAGTTGCTTTTGAATTCATTGGTTTGTACTTGAATTTTAGTAGGATCTTTTATTTTTTTTCATTTTTACTCGTTCAATAGAAAAATAGTACAAGCACCATCCAATACAGGTATAGTAAGATAAATATGTTGTGACTTATGATAGGATAATATTTTATGGTATGATGGGAGATAGGAGCAAAGCCATAATTCTTTTTTAGCGGGGACACATTGAATTATCTCAAAAATTGCTCATAAATACGATCTCTTTTATCAACAAAAATAATTCTGATAGCTAATTATTCTTTAATTAATATGTCTTGAGACTCATTTAATATTATTGTGAATAACTCATTGCTTTATTCATTAATAATAACAGGCACATTCATGTATGAAACAAACTTGATTCGACATGCATCTAGAAGTCAAATAATCATTTCCATTTGGGTATCATGCAACATTAATATATGTATATATATATATATATATACATATATTAATATATATATATATTAAAGGAATAGCCAAAGGCTATTATTCGAGCCTCGGTCATCCTTTATGCGTCTAGCTATTCGAGTACCACTCCCTAAAAATGGTGGGATTTGACCCCCAGACTAGAGGTGACTCACACTGCCGAAGCGGATTTTTTACCAACTGACATGGACACGGTACTATATATATATATATATATGGATAGATATTGCATCATCAATAAATCTAGCATGCAACACGAATCTCAAAGCATGTAATAGATATCTGAGCAATCTTGCAAGCAACATTCAAACTTCGATTTAAAGTCGCCTAGAGCTTCAATTTCAACAAAATAATAATCAAACTGACCAGTTCAACGAGAAGAACACAATGATACCAAAATTTGTCCAATTCAAACCAATCATGCTCTGATCAAGCCATTAATCTGCTTTTGGAAGCTTCATCAGTTTGTCGTTGTCTGTAGAAATCGAAGTCTAGTTCGGCACTATCTCGAACTCTGAGACACAGAGCCCCTTCTTCGTTTTTCAATGTTGTACATCATCCAACTGACGAAGGAACCTCCTTTGTATTTTGAAGGTCATCTCTAAAGCATTCTTTGATGTGGGGGGCAACATTCACTGCAGTCTCAAAAGGTTGTTCAGGTCAAAGCCCCAGACACGATTGTAGTGGGGCGGTCTTCTTGCATCCTATTCAGACACAAAGTTTTTCACAACTTCTTTGGGAGGGCAACCTTCACTTCAGTCTCGAAAGGTCATTCACGTTAACGCCTTAGGCACTACTGTGGTAGGTTGTCATCCCACATTTCATTCAGACGTCAAGTCTTCGGGAATTGCTTCCAAAGTGGGGGCCAACTTCATAATAACACTTTCCGTCCTAGAGTTCTTCCTCAACCGTATCAGGAAGCCGATCTCTTCGAAAGGTTCAATACATGGGTTATTTTACAATCTTGTGTGGAAAACACGTCGGAGGAGAAACAACAAATTTAAAAACAACAACTGACAAGTTGTCAAACATCATTCTTGAGAATGGCTACAACTATATTTCTAAGAAAAAATATGGTTCATTGCGACCTATGCCCAGTCTCGAGAAACACAACATCTCTAACACTCGTTTTGTGCTTAATCGATTCTAAGGAGGGTCGATTCAACCTCTTCTATCGCAGTCTACGGTTGTCAAGTAGAAGCTTCTACTAACAACATTGGATAGGTTAAAAATCTTTAATGGATTTTCTTTGACCTCTTTCAAATAGTTATGGTCGTCGAGTAAAAGCTTCGACCAACAATTTAGGATAGGTCAACCATCCTTGGTGGATTTTACGTGTCGCTTTCCATTACGAGTTAACGCTGTAGAGCGTCTCCCGCTATACAACCCAGGAGGGGCCTTGCAACCTTAATGGATTCTCCTTTCAACTCTGCTCCAACATAAGCTACAATTGTAAGATAGACTCACTTCAACTAACAACCTAGGAAAAATCAAACATTCACAGCGACTGACAAACTTTTCACCCATACTCCTGGAAGTTGAGCCCAGGAGACATGACTCAATGGAAAGCTACGGTGCTCCTAAAAGACAAGCCTAGGAGCCAAGTCTCGATGGGAAGCTACTATACCTGTGAAAGTCGAACCCAGGAGACAAAACTCAATGGAAATATCTGGTACTCCTGGAAGTCGAGCTCAAGAGGCAAAACTCGATGGGAAGCTATCATGCCCCTAGAAGATAAGCCCAAGAGGCAAGTTTCGATGAGAAGCTAGTAGTGAATAGAGCTCTCACTAGAAAGACACCAAAAGAGCAAATGGTTAACAATGTCTCCACTCAAAGATCTTAGAAGACTACAAGTCTCAGAAAACACAGGTAGATCAAGGACGTCAAAATACTATAAGCCTCAGAAGGGAGAGGTACATTAATGACCTTAGAAAACACCAATGCAATTGAAGCTCTGGAAATGCATAAGTCAAAGAATGCACAAGCCTCAGAAAATATAAGCATAAGGGGATACGAATCTTAAAAGACACGAGTTTGAAAAGGTACGTAATTCCTTTTTATATAAAATGCACGTGTTAAATTTAATTGCAAACTTTCGCACGATTGAGAAGCCACAACAACCTTAGAAGCAAATTAATAGATTATCATCATAGCGTAGAGTAATCCCAAATATTCAAACTTGCAAGATTGAGATATTTTCGGGCGATAAGATTAGTGTCGCCCAAAAATAGGGGCACAATAGATACAATTTTTAACAAATCCAACTTCTAGCATGAATCTCAAGGTATGCACAGATATCGAGGCAATCTTTTAAGCAAGAAACTTTCAAACTTCGATTAAAAGTCACCTAGAGCTCTGACTTCGGAAAAATAAAGTCAAATTAACTAGCTCAACAAGACAGACACAATGGTAACAAAATTGGTTAAATACAAACCAAATCAAGCCATTAAACTACTTTTGGATGCTTTCTAAACATATCTGAAACGTCAAACGGATGTCGATTCTGGTGAGCTTATAGTTAAGTCGAGCGTCTTGACAAGACGAATCCAATAAGCCCAAGATCGCTAAATTCTAATATTGTAAGGCACTCAAATGTTCATCAAACATCGTCTGATCGAGAGAATTTCTCCAGACTGTCCAATCAAAGTTGTTCATATTCCTTCATTAATTGCAATTAAGACTCTAAAAAAAGAGTCCTACCCCTCTCATGAGGATGGGAGACCTTAAAGCGTGAAGAAGACTGAAACTTAGAGGAGCTGAAGTTCGATATCACTAAAGCACAGACGACCACCACTTGTCTGTTGTTGTCGATCATCATTGGTGTCATCCACTTCTTATAAGTTCATGCGCGCATCAATGTTGTAACTTAGAGACTGTCTTTCCCTCCTATGGGATAAGTGGTCATAATTGTAATCACTAATTTATGGTGAATCTCCTCAATTGAGTCAGACCCCGTGATTTTTTTTTTATTGGTTTTTTACGTTAAAACTTATGTTGTTTCTACTTTTTGTTTTCTTTCATCTGAGTGTGTGTTGAACTCTCCTGCAATGTTAAAACGATAATCTCTTACTCTACGACATGAACCTTCTCGCGGCATCTCCTTCCTTCATCCTCTTGATTGTTCGATTCCTCCCCTTCCTCTTCAGTTTCGCGTCTCCTCGCTTCCTCTTCTCTTCTGCTAAGCTAGTTGTTTCCTCTCCCACAATTTTAACTCTTCGATTCTTTCTTCTCGGTAATAGGACGTTATAATCTTCCTCTTTTATAAAAATTTTGCACTCGAAATTTAAACTGACCGCAAGTCACATCTCAAAGCATGTCAACATTATATATTCATAAATTTTCTATCGAACTTTCTTCTTCTATAATTTCAGGTCTGAATGGATATAATTATTAATTTAAGTTAACTTAAATTTAACTCTTTTTTTTTTTACAATTTTTGTATAACTATTCTATTAGCTCTTTCATCAAGATTTTATTTATTAATCTTAAACCTTGGTCATTTGTGTGCTCTCCATTACACATGAGAGCTCCTCGCAGAGCTGCTGCAATTTCTTCATCTTCAACTCCCTTGCACACGGCTAGGCACCGACACTGACAGCTCCTCTCTACGCTCCTTTCTCTTTGCCCTAACAACACTTACCGCAACCACACGATCCTAAGAGTTCTCCACTTCCCCCGCCGGTGCCGATCGACTCTTAAGTAAGTCGTTTCTTTCCTCTATCTTCCATCTCGATAATGGGATATTACAGTCTAGGTCCACAGATAATTCACTGGAATGTGTTCTGCAAAGCATGTTTATCTTAAAAAAAAAGTATTAAACTACTAAAATGAACTAATAAAATATCATAGAATAATTAATAATCTAATAATTAAAATTTTTAACCATCAAACCATTTGTTTTGGCACACCCTACATTTTCTACAAGAATAAGCTTTGCAATTAACGTCAAGTTCTCAGTCAAGTCTAGCAGCACATGCTCTGCCTTTTATCATGTACTTACGTAAGTCATAGAAACTTGCTAAAATCATTGTAAAAATAATTAGAATTGTCTCCAGAGTATTTGTGAAGGGTAATTTTAGTCTCAAGCTGTATAATAAGTTTTGATATTGTCTGCAAATACTTGAAAATAAGAGCCGAAATAGCCTCTCTATTAAAGGTATTGGATATGGTGTTAAGAAAGATGGCATTTTAGAAATTTACCTATTGTGATATTTATGAACTCTAATAAATGGTATTTTAGAAAATCTATCTTTAAATTGATATGTATTAATTTCTTTATAGGGCACACAAATGATACTTGGAAGATTTACATGCATACCAGTCGATTCTTTTGTATTTACGTACATGTCATCTTACCTACGCATGAAAATGTGCAATTTACGTTTTTAAAATTAAAATGATGGTATTTTCATGTGATATGAAAGATTTGGGTAATATGAAGTAAAGTTTTACAGAGGAATTGGTATGTATGTTAATGTCCCTTTATACTTTTATACAGACTGACCTAAAATTTTCATGTTTTTTTTATATATAATGATTGGGATTCAAGCAGGAGGACATCAAAGGAATTGACTTGGTGAAAATGGAAGAAGCAAGAATGGGCTACTTGTCAGCTCTTGCTGCTGCAAAAGATGATCCCACTGATGAAACTTTAGCTGCTGCTGCTGCGGCGAGACTCACGCTACAATCTTTAGTCTACTAACTCTTAATGTTTATATGTTTTATTGTTTGGCAAAGTCTCAGGGATGATGCTTTCTGCTGGGATTGAATCAATAGGAAGAGAGAGTTCTATAAAAAAGACATTTTTTTATGGATTTTCAAATTTTGTTGTAGTTTGGCACTTTGCTATGGCAAAAAGGGTAGATGTGAAATTCAGGCATTTTGCGAGCGCTAAATGTGAAGTAGTATTCTTTAGTGCTGATTGTAGTAATAGATATGATGAGTGCTGCTGCTATATGGCAGGCATCTTGGATAGCATTGGTGGGTGTTTGGATTTGTTTTAATTTTGTGTTTTATTTCTTTTATTTTTTTAGTTTGGAATAATTCACTTGTTTTATATGTTTGGCAATATAAAAGAACATATATAATTATCATATTTAAGTTTATTTAATATGTGATTTTGAATGGTATTTCTTCTTAAATTTTCCTAATTAGAACCATTAATTAGGAAAATTTTATTTGATCACTTCATATTTAATATGTCCACTCATGTGTTGCCTTTGGGGGCAGGTTCAAATCCTATATGCAAAAGAGATTTTTTTTTTTTTTTTGTAACATTGATGTTATTAGATTCCAAGTCTTAGATGTGAAAAGTGGAGGGTTGTGTTAGGTTGTTGACAGCTAGCATAAAATTTCTATAAATGTCATGATATTAATCATTTTGATCATTATGTAATGTTAGGGCGTCCCCTGAAAGCGGTGCACTATATGACTTAAATACAATGAAAAATGTACAAGAGTCGTTACATAGTGTCCAGGTGTAGTGTCAAATAAGCAAAGAGTTCCCACATTACAGATGGATGCGGGTAAAGTAGTTAGCTAATGAAATTAATATTATATTATGAACTTATAATATATGTATTCTCACAAGTAAATTAATGGTAAATTAATGTAAATTAATGGAATTAATTGATATTATAATTCATAGAAAGATAAATACTTTATGTATTCAAGAAACTAAATGGGTTGGAGAAAAGGATGAGGAGATTGATAATTTATATTTAAAACTTTGGTATCCAGGTAAGAGTTGCACTAGAAATAGTATAGGTGTATTTATAGATGAGTTTAAAAGATAATGTTGTAAGAATAAATAGAATTAGATATAGAATTATATCTCTTAAGATTACTGTTCATAATAAAATTTTTAATATTTTAAGTGTTTATGCTCCTTCAATAGGTTTAGATATAGGTTCTAAGAAAAAAGTTTGAAATGACCTATAAAACTTAATAGAAATGAGACACCTCTTGAAGAAAGATTTTTTTTTTTTTTTTTTTTTGAGGAGATTTAAATATACATATCAGCAAAGAAGATTTTAAAAATATTTCATCGACGAATGAAATTATCTTTATAATTGTTTTTAATTAGACGGTTAAATCTTACATTGCATTAACTTCAAATGCTTAAAAATTTATCAATGAGTTGACATTTACTTTTTTTTTCCCCCTCTTAAAGAACAGCTAATTTCTGATATAGTTTGATTGTACATTTCGAACACAAACCATTAAATTAAAGCATAATATTACGTTTAATAAATGAGACGGCTTCCTACATCCAACATTAAAAGCCAAAGGCATATTTGCTATCATTATATATATA